AATATGTGGAGGGAGGGCATTCAATATGGGTCAATTTGGTGGAGGTATATTTGCAAGTTGAGTGTGATTGATGAAGGTAATAGGGAGTGGTTAACCAATGGGCTGAAACTAAGAGTTGGGGATGAGGTAGGAATAAGTCTTGGTTAAATCTTTATTGTGGTCCCTCAACTATTGTACGGACTTTCGATTTAGTCTCTCGACTCAAAAAATCCCTAATTTGATCCTTACTATTTACCATTTTGACCCCAACTTGGTCCCTCCATTAAAATTCCGGATACATATCCCATTACTTGACAGAGAGAAACATGACACGAAAAATATTGACACATAAGATCTACAACATGGCAAAACCAATGATGTGGCAAAAATAATTAAAAAACTCCCTTTTTTTTCTTTCTTCTTCCTTTTCCTTTCCTTTTGCCCTCTGCAAACCCTAAAACCTTCTAAACCCAGCATGCCTGGGTTCTATTGAACACAGCACACATTGGATTCGATTGAACCCAACACACCTAGGTTCGGAAAGAACCTAGATCTGAGTTGCACTTTCCATTTTAAATTCAAATTAAAGTAAAAAAAAAAAATCAAAGAAATACCCAAATTTATTTAATTCCAAAATTTAATGCTTTCCAATTCTGCAAAATCAAATAAGTACCCAAAATAAATACCCAGATCTGCAAATTCCAATTCTTATTATTCAAATTTTAATGCTTTCATACCCAAAATTGCAGCAATCAAGATTTGAAAAATAAAACCTAAATACAAATGTGGGTGTAGAGGGAACTTAGATCTGGATTGCCTCTTAGATCTATACTTCCTCGCACCCAAAATCGACCTTCTCCTTCACAAGATATTCACATAACAAAGGGAACCCATATCTTAGGTTCCCTTATTATGTGAGGCTAGCATGACGGAAACCCAGATCTGGATCTCCTCCTTTACACCACCGAGCCTCACTCAAAGAAGGGACCCAACCGTCACACGAGCTTCACTAGTCAACCAAGCTTGTTCACCATGGAGAAGAGACAAGGAGAGGAGATAGAAGGAGAAGTGCCTGAGGAAGAAGAAGATTGGGTGATTGAAATCAAAAGGCTCCGTTCTATTCAAATGGGAAGCTAGGTTCAATCAAACCCAACCCAACAGATCACTGGGTTCTCGAGAACCCAACGTTCTGCTGGGTTTAATCGAACCCAACCCAGTAGATCGCTGGGTTTGATTGAACCCAGCAAATTGCTGGGTGTTGGGTTCTCGAGAACCTAGTGGAACACGATACCCACCAGCAGATCTGTTAGGTTTCGAACCCATAGTAAGTTTGATGAGAGGGTTTAGATGGAGGAGATGAGATGAGGAAAGAGATGATGAGGAGATGATTAAAACCCAAACCAACAAACAAGGATCTAGGGGAAGAAGATGAATAACACTGGAGATGAAAAGTAAGGGGTAACGAAAGGAGAAAGGAAAGAAAGTGAGCTGTGGTTAAAGATGAGGGTAAAATTATAATTTTAGTTTTATTTATAATTTAACCTTTAATTTTTAATTAGAAATTACACGTCATGTATTTTTATCACATTATCGGTCCTACACATCAATAGACTTTTACGTGTCATCTTTTTTCAGTTAAGTAACTGGACAGGTAGGCGGGTTTTTAACGAAAGGACCAAATTGGGATCAAAATAGTAAACAGTAGGGACCAAATAAAGAATTTTTTGAGTTGAAGGACTAAATCAGAGGTCCGTACAATAGTTGAGGGACCAAAATGGAGATTTAACCATAAGTTTTTGGGGGGATGAGTAGTGTGGGGAGAGAGTCTTGCTAATAAGTTTCCAAGGCTTTACATATTATTTGTAGGGAAGAACAATAAGATCTCTCAAATGGGTGGGTGGCAAAATGATTCATGGAAATGGAACCTAAAATGGAGGAGAAACATGTACAGCTGGGAAGAACAACATGAATCAGAACTCTAGATGCTGATGCAAGACATCAACATAGAAAGAGGGAAACTAGATTTGTGGAAATGGATCCATTGCAAGGACGGAAACTACACAACAAGTTCAGCATATCAAAGACTTACAATGGAGCAAAGGAGCATGCAACAGAAATCAAATATACAAAAAGTATGGAATGCGTTAATTCCCAATAAAATTTTAGCATTCTCATGGAAACTGTTGCAGGACAAAATTCCGACAAAGGTAAACCTTTTACAAAGGGGTATTATAAAGGATATTGAGGAATTTAAGTGTGATATTTGTGATTTGGAGAATGAGGACTCCAGTCGTATTTTCATTCATTGTAAATTAGTACATGAACTTTGGAATACCTATTACAAATGGTGGGGTATTAAGACTGTGCTTGATGAAGATTGCTGGAGGGTGTTTGAACAGCATGTCAACATGGTTAAATCAATAAGGGAGAAGGAGGGATGGGAATGCATTTGGTTTGCTATAATATGGACTATCTGGTTAGCAAGAAAGGAGAAGTTATATAAAGAAAAGGTGGCGGATAGGGGGAAGATGCTGGAATTGGTGCAGCTCAGAACCTTCAATTGGATAAAAAGTTAAAAAGGAGGTTGCTTCTTCTTACTTTCTGATTGTATCCAGAATCCTGCAAGTTGCTTAAAGATCAATTGTGCCAGCAGAAGGAACTTAAAGGAATCTGCAGCCATTACATAGAATTTGGTGCAGATAGAAAACGGTCCCCTAGTTGCATGGAAGGCATATGTATTTTGGGCGGTCCCTTGGCTGGTTAAGCTTAAGCTTGTAAAGAGTTTGATAAAGCTTAAGCTTGCAATGGGTTCGAAGTACTCCTTCTACTCTCACAATAAATAATATGATTTTGCATTTCAAAAAAAAATAAATAAATAAATATAGTTGCTTGATATTTAAGAACTCAAAATTAAACAACAATTACATGTCTTGCTCACGTTTACAAACCAATAAATACATAAGTACCTCCTAAAAAAGGATATATATACAAGTACATGGCTGTAAACTGAATATACAAGTGGAATTGTAGAAACATGCTAATTTCTACAAACCAGAGCTAAGCATCCGAAATTAATATATTGTTTGAATTGTAAATCTCCTAAAAATTTTAGTAGTTGGAATTGATATATATTACGTCATGTATATATAACAAAAATATTTGTGGTACGTACTTTTTGATTAAGAACCTCTAACGAGGTTGAACCAGAGTAAGAGTCACCTCATTATTAGAGCCAGTGCCCCCACCTGCATCAACATTGTGTGCCTTCTTCACCACAAATGCAGGCTGGTTCGGAGGAGGAAGGACCGCTTTATCATTGCCCAACGTGAACACAACGGTAGACATTGTCGGCCGGTCCGCTGCGGATTCTTGCACACACAGCAACCCAATCTGGATGCACCTCAAAACTTCATCCGCCTGAGACGATGAGTATTCCCCTAGGGATGAATCCACTATCTCCATTGCCTTACTTTCTTTCCACAAGTTCCAAACCTGCAAAAAATAAAGAATTATAGTTTGTATCCTATATACCTATGAAATTAACATGCATCATATTAATAAGGTATTGATCCCACATTTAAGGAAGATATCATGTGAC